AACGTAAAAAAAGTTGATGCTGAGTGCGAATGGTTTAATGACGCAGAAAATAACCAAATGATCACTCTTTTCGCACTACTTGAAATTTAACTGACATCTGTGTGAAAAAATGTGATTCATTGGCCATTCCTTCGGAATTTAACTTTCTAAAAATATGTGCGGCTCGCCAATGACTTGCAACCTTTAATTTTGGCCCGCGAACGACAAAAATTTGCCGACCCCTGCCGTAGACAATTTGACTGACGGTGACACAAAAGGAAAAACCACCACAAAGTGCTGAATTTTTAATTTTGATGACCTTATCACAAAAAAAAACGAATCCAACAGAGTCCACAAAATTTTTTGAAATAAATAAAAGTAATAGCCTTCTAGCGACAACAGCAATTTTCAACCACAATTCTAATGCAGTGGGCCTAGCAGTGAAAGAGAAACGCGATTTTTTCGTAACAACAAGAAAAGGAACATTACAAAAACAACATAGTAACAAAGAATTCATGGGTCCACTTCGTGTCCAATAATGGGAACATGACATTTTTGTCCGCGTCGTGTTCAATTTAATGTCTTCTGTGGAAATCGTTTGTATTAATGAGCGCCTCAATATAGTCTACTGTGGGCCTGTGGCCAAAACGTTTTGCTACATTTCTTCAAGCAGACACCTTTTGTTTATGTTATAGTTGCATCATGATCGTGTATAGACTTGCAAAATTCAACACGAACTGTATTTTGTTCGTTCCTTGACATTTGCATGGGATAAAAAAGATGTAACGATTCACCAGCACTGGATTTCGTACAAATATACGTCGAAATGTTTAATACTGAATTGCCAATTTCATCTGCAGTACGTTAGGCCAGCTTCCCTACGCACCGCCAGATTATTAATTTAATCTCTAAAATTTGATGTATTAATAAATGACACAAGAAACATGACTGACACCTAAATAGAAAATATTCTCGGAGTGGATTTTTATTGCCTGCAGTTGCTTAAAACAATTTCAACACTGTTCAAAAGTTGTAGGAATATTACTAAAGGAATCATGTACTGGTATAGAGAGATTTATATGTATAACAGTGAATAAATGTGGGTGTTAGCAAATGAAGCGTTATAGATGTAAAATTAACCCGCTGAGAAAGAATGGGATACAGAAGCTGAAGAATGACGACCTCTCTAGACATGTTTCAATTAAGTGCCTCTTCAAAAATTTGAAGGGCGTATTGTTTATATATTGAGCAATGTCACCTGCATGCATTGATCGTTTGATTGATCTATATAAACATCGCAGGAGGCACTGATTATACGTGCTTTTCATATTTAGAATGCCGACCTTGGTAATTTTACTGCACATTTATCTGCTGAAGATGTTTATTGAAGTTGAAAAGGAGGTATTGTAGGACGAACACTGTAATTAGTTATTGCATGAAATGACCGAAAGATCTGTGACCGACTGCACACCATTAAATAAAGAAGTTTTTCACGTCGTGGTATTCGAACTTAGGCAGGAGGTTTATATTCAGGTTATATTCATTATATTGGTACAACGTTGCAAAACGTTTTTTAAGCAAGTGATGACGGGTCAATTCAGCCAGATATTGTTTTACCGTCGATCGTTGCGCATTGTCAATTGACCTGCGAGCCCGGATGTTTAACCATGACAGGTTTATATTGAATCAGCGCAACAAAACTTTTATTCCTTCGAACAGTTCTGCATTAGAACATTTTTTACAATCACAGCTAGCTAGCTATGCTATCAATGGTGGTATTCAGGGGGTTCGCACGATAATTAACAATGGCAAAAGGCACGTTTTTATTGGATCAACGAAACTTTCTCGAAATCGACACTTTTGCATCAGAAAATTTTCTGCGCGCACAGCTCGCCAGATGTACGATTTTGGTATGTCGTGATAATCAGCGAATCCATTTTTTTCAGTAGTTCAACATGGCTTTCTGTGATGAGAGAACCCTCTGTTAGTGAGTTGGATGTAAAATGGAACCCGTTCTTCAAATTTTGAATCCCATAACTGTATACGATGCCCGTGTACCGCATGAGACGAGCGATCTTAATCTCGTCGTGATTGAGTAAGGATGCATTAATGTCGGCGACTACGAGTAAACCTCCAAGGACTATTGGAGTTTCTGTGTAAATTATCAGGATGGTCGCTATAAAAAAACAGAAATTGAAATTCAGATGAGATCACGAATAAAATGCGTGCTGCTTACTCATTTCTTTTTCGATACGTTTTCATTTCTTTCAGGTTCTAGTATGTTTTAGGTTGATAACTTTTAATGTCTACTAGGTTAACACACTGCCCTGAAGTGCACTGACGACATTTTGAGCATCTATGAATACCACACCTCTTTAACTTTGTAAAAGTTATTCTTTGCAAAATAAATATCTGTTTGACAAATTTTCTGTTTTTTCTAGCGACCACCCTGCATATATCACAGCAATTAGTACCAATTGAGTGAATATATATACCGGTATATATATATCCAATAAGACAGATTATTTTTAAGTTTTTAAAGCGGTTGTAACTTGTAAGGGAAACTGATAGCTTGTTTTTCTGGAAACGTTGAAAAGATGGGCATTAGGTAGACGTAGGCAAACGTCAGAAGCAAGCATTTCAGCATTTATGTATTATCTGTTCCGTGAGCGTGCCACGATTCTTACAACCCTAAACATTACAACTTCGCTCATGCTGGTAGCTCGCTATTTTTATGTTTGTTCGTTAAGATGTCTCGAACTACAGAGCTTAGTCTGTTTACTAGAATTATTGTGACGTCAACTTTGGTTATGAATTCTGCATCAAATAAGTTGCAAGAGATTGGAAAGTGGCAACCTATCAATTTTAGAATCCATTGTCCGTCCATCAAATTCCCGTTCGGATAAAGTCATTCGCGCCCCTATTCAAATACAATTTAAGTTATCGTTTCCCAGCCGTGGAGGTCTTGTTCTTGGGGGGGGGGCATTTTGTGTTGTATTTGCTGTAGTATCACTAAAAAATTTTATTATTATTATAATACTTTATGGTCATTTTATAAATTACACTAACTGTATAACCGCGGGAGTGTGACTTGTGCATAACAAGAATCAATTAAAGATTGACTAAACAAAGTACTAATCTTAGTAAGAAATAAAGGGTCAAAAATAAGCGACGCGTAGAATGTAACGCTTCTTCCCGAGCCGTCTCCCGTCCTGTGTCCAGCAATTGAATTGAACAAAAATAAACACTATTTTCCAGAATTAGTCGGTGGACGCCGTTTGTTGTAATTGATTCGAATCTGTTATCGATTACAGCTTTTTGTTATTCTTCTACAATTAACAACGATTATGTTACTCGTTATTGAAACCCGATACCTCGCGTCGTCGATTCCTTCAGCGCATCGCGTATATCCATGTACTCTCCTGAAACAACTAACGATTCTTTACATATGGGCCGATTTTTTATCTTTTGATTTTCTTATTGTTACTGTTGTAAAACAACGCTTTCATCCTTGACTATCAGTTTTCAATATTTGTGCTATATAAGTTAAACAAAAGTTTTTTTTATGAAATCCCATATGGGGGTCGGTCGACTTTGTTGACTTTGCAGTCTTGCGCGTCCCCCTACGTTTATATTTTATAATCATTGTTGTTTTTTATTACTGCAATGTGCACTTTAATGATATTCGGAATTAAATCTTATCTATATGACGACCAGACAGAGCACAATGCTCAAGGCATCAACTAGGACTAGGATTACCATATTTTTGTGATCTCAAAGCGGGACGCCTCCAAAGTTCATATATGTGATTTTTGCACCTTCAAATTTTACGCTGGGGGTCTACATTTAAAACCATCATGACTGTCTGCATTGCCATTGACCATACTGTAATCAAAAGTTCATGCGCTGTTTGGCTAAATATTGGTTTCAGTTCGAAAAATAGAAATAAATTTACGTTAACGTTAAGCCCTCTTGTGGCGTACGGGGTTTAAGCGTAACAAAATGTAGCAATTATCCGCTAACAAAACAAAGAAACAAACAAAACCACGCACCCACCTTCAGTAAGAAGGCTAACGGTACGCTACACAGCAACAACAGTATCAAGAACATTGTAATTGATATTGTTCGTGTATCATGCTGACTGGTTGAACGCCAAAGCGGGACATTTGGCTGACCTGTCGGGACACTGGGACAAGACGTTGAAAAGGGAGACTGTCCCGCCTAAAGCGGTGGTAAGCCTACCTAGGACAGACTGTTATTTTAAAGCTGGATGACCGGTATCCATATAAGTGACCAGTGGCTCACTTAAAAAGACTGATGCGCTGGAAAGCTATTACTTTTATTTACTTTTAAAATTTCCTTAGAATTCTATGAAACCCGAAATATCACGAAAAATGTTGCTGTTCTATTTCAATTGAATAGAAACATTTCCCCCTGCAATACCCGAGTGGGTCCGTATTGCCTATTTGTCGATCTTTTCAGCAAACTCAGTGCTCCCAACGATGCGACTTTCGTGTCCTTATATTTGAGCGAAAACGTATTTTTTCATCCATTGAATGATCTCGAAAGTTTGACTTGAATTTGTGAACATCCTTGCGAGGGCTTGAATGCTTGATGTATACAAAACATGTAAAAAGCCTTAGATGCCCATTGAAGGTGGGCTCGTAAATGGGAGAATTTTTGTTTACAGTTCGTTGCAGACTTGTACGTTATTATTGACAATCGATACATCAAACAGACTCAAGTAGTGTGAGAGGAAGGATAGCAAACAAGCCTAATAGTTTTTTTAAACACCCAAACTATTGAAATAATACATCAAACAGACTTAAGCAATGTATGATGAAGAAAAGCAAACACAACTAATATTTGAGTAATTTGAGCATCTATGTACCTGAAAAATTGTTATCTTGATATTTAACACACGCTGCAGGATTTTAACAAAAGTAAATCTCCAAGCCTGAGGATATAAAAAGTGTATATGTATTAATATTTGTCCATCTATTCTCTTACCAAATAGTTAGGCAATTGGTACTTTGGAATAATTTGTTAAGTTCAAAATCCTTGCACCATCGACAACTGACCAATGAAAAAGGAAGCAATCTGAAAATGACCTCTCTGCACTCAAGAAGAAAGTCGAAAATGGCATCATCTCAAGTTAGGTACGTGTTTATCATAACTGTTTACTTTTCCGTAAGCGTGCATCAAGTCATTTACGAACACGAGCAAAGGGTGCGCATGACATGACACACAAAGTTGGCCACTAGGAATATATGATTATTGCATTGGTTTCGGCCTGGGAAACTGCTAACGGTGCGAAAACATTCAATGAGTCAAAAAATACACCTAATTCCATGGACAATGGAAATGCTTTCGTGAAAAGTACCGTCAAGTTACTCTTTCGGAAAACTAGTGGACACAGCAGTTTATAAAATATCGTTCGTTTTGTAGGATGAGTTTACAATATTGCTGTGTTCCTTTTCTCGAATATGTTGAGTATATTCAAGAGTATTTTCCACTATAATTTGAAACAGAGGGTTTTCATTGACTTAATTATGTTTTTGGGAAAATTAAGATGATCACTAACACAAACGTATTTCTGTAACATTTCGTCCGACCAAGGTCAGACTTTCTCAGACAAGCACGTTACAACAATAGCAAGAAAATCTTTGGTCGAACGAAACGTTACAGAAATACATTTGTGTTAGTGTGCAGCTGAACTCTTTAATTAGATAGAATAGTCATGATTATTCCAGCTACAGCATCTTTGCAGTATACGCATACGGATCCACTAGCATGAGGGCATAGAAAAAAGGGTACTTCTGAAAATATGCGCACCAAGGTGTCTCACAACCTGAACCTTGACCTGGTACACAACCTGAGTTCAGGTTGTGCGCCATCTTGGTGCGCGTATTTCAGGAGGTCCGAGAAAAGATAGGGAGTTAGTCTCGCGCAACTCAATTCAAAATTAAGATGATCGATGTTAGTTAAACTCAGCCATACTTGTTATCACAGTTTTCGACCATCACAAGTTTTATCCCAATCGTGTCATCGTAGGATATCTCAAAATAAACAAATACCATGTTTCCCCGAAAATAAAACTGTGTCTTATTTCAATTTAATAACACTAGGGCTTGTTTTAGGGGATGTCTTTTATTTTCATTTATTGAAAACAAAATCACAAAGTAGAGAATTACGAGATTTTCATATATACAAACATGAAACCGATATTCATTTACTGTTAAATAACAATTTCCTATTTTAAAAAACCGACTTTGGTCTTATTTTAAGGGGAGGACTTATATTAAAATCAGTTTTAAAATTCAGGCTAGGTCTTATTTGTATTTGAACTCCTGAATGAAATAAAAAAAATGTAGTATTATTACCACCATAACAACAAAAACCAATGTAATTGTATTTGTATTTTTGGTTTTTAAATGCCACAAAAAGTCAAACAAAATGGCAAAAACTTTAAACGTGTGATGTCATTGATCGGAACTCACGTCCAATCACCGATTGCCAAACAAAACATATACGTAAAAACACAAGCGTAAAAAAGATATATATACTATCTGCTTGGAAACATACCATCACAAATGACATCATCATGAGTTTGTACTTTGAGTTATAATATTTATATGAACTAAAACTAAATACTAAACGACTCGGCGGTGTGGCGCATCGCGCTAAGAGTTAGGAATATTACCGCTCTGATTACCCTGCGTCGGTTCGCAAGTTCGAATCCCACGCGGGGATAGTTATGTGCGAGTGGATTGCTGAACTCCTCGCCGCCGTAGGGTGGTTCACGTAACCGCTGGTTGGTAGGGCTTTCTCCACCATAAAGTCGTTACTTTCGAAAGCAAATAACTGCCTAACTAATCCTATACCCGACATCGACTTAAGACATCTTATCGGCTTCCTCTCCCCTGGATAACTATTTAAATCCTATCCCTCGACTGATGACGTAATATTGATTCAGTTCAATGTTTACACAACAGCGATATAACTACACAAAATGAATCATTTATCACTTCTGTAGTGTCACCCCGGCTTTGACGAACAAATCAAGGTTTTCGAGCGTGCCTATTTCAGTTCACCTTCCATACTCCATATCACCAGGGGTGGCCAAAATCGAATATTTAACAATATTTTCGAATATGAAATATCAAATGCATTCTAAATTAGGGCCACGTCCACATGGAAAATGACATAATTTACTATATCTTCAGTTTGATCACATCTTAAGCAACACAAAAACAAAACGTCATTATTTTTTCTGTGGTGTTTCTACCACTTGATATATCGTACGTTTTGATCTGCTTGTCCAGGGGTTGGCAACGTTTTCTTTCCGGTGTACCAATATTTAAAATTTAAGGTCAAGATGTACGTTAGCGTGCCGATGAAAAATTGCGTTATATAATCGGACATGAGAACAGTACAAATTAACGTAAAATTGCTTGGATAGTTTGAACTACCTAAAGTTATGCCTGAATGTAAATTTCACGACAAATTATTGAGGGTATTTTTATTTATATATGCAAAAAAATATTCACTATGACCATCTATTTTAGTGGGATTCTGCCTTCTCCGCGATTGACGATACATTCTACATTATGTATCTATTTCCGTACTTGTGAATTGTACTGCGAGTGAATACTATTTTGTTTTTCGTAACGAAAAAGCGCTTTTTTTAGAAGCTTCAATCTTTTCAGAATCACTGTTGAATATTTTTTGTGTCTTTTTTTCAAAATCAAGTTTAATACTCGAGGTACGACAAATGACATTTTCACAGCAGACTGTACATACAGTTCTGTCATTACGACAAGCAAACACAAAATCTGTTGGCAACAATTCTTGAAATTGGCCCACATTTGATTTTGCCATCTTGGCTTCAGACATCGCATTTATCACCATGGTTAAAACGGAATAAAATGCAAATACCACCATGCGAGGGAAGAATAATGATTTACAATCAATGAAAAAAAAAGATATAATGACGAATCAATGAAATTAAACACAGCAATTATATGCGTTTCCCACCGAATTCATTATTTTAACATTTTGAAACGTGTTTTTGGAAAAATGCTGACGACGCCGCGTGCCGTATAAAATCTCCTGGCGGGAGTTGCTGACACTAGTGCTTTTCTAGCGACTCAAAATCACTAATCTTCAAATGAAAATATTTGTAAATTATCCCCGCATATTACCATTGAAGATCACACAGATTTGAAAGTTTAGTTATAAAACCCTTCAATTATACAACATCGCCATGGTAGCGGCATAACATACAACATTCAATCATGCGACTTTAAAAATACCAGTCAGCAATGCATTAAATTAGCAACGGCTTTGCACATTGGCTATCACCGCACATCGTACCTGTTAAATGCGATTATAATACAGCAGTTGTGAGACACTACAAGTTCTTTCTATATTATCTCCCATTTCCTTTTTGATCTCCTTCACTCTCCATTACCATGTTCATTTTTCAGTTTTGGTCTCAATCTCTTCATCCTAATGTTTTGATGTTTTCACCATTTTTTTTCTTCTCTTTTTTTCTTGTCTCTTTGTTGCCTCCAACTACTGTCAAATTTTTATTCTATTTAATCCTATCTTTTCATTTTTCTTGATCTATTTGAGTTTGATCTGACTTATAACCTTCCCTTCCACTAGTGCAAAACCAACAAAAATTAAAGTGTTCACGTGTGTCTATCTGTTTTACCAGAATGCGAACTTGAATGAATTTTAGGGAAGCAACCCAACACGTAACCCCAACTTTCAATACCAAGCATTTTACATCATTTAACATCATTATCACCCACTATTATTTATTTCTGATATCATTTTAGTTCATTTGTCGACGGTGATGATCAAGACCATCGGGAAGGAATTTTTGATCAATTCTCGGAAGATTCATCTCCTGAAATGTATTACTACACGGTAAGTTTTATCGGTTTCTACAAGAGCATGTTTTACCCAGATCATTGTGGTCTATTAAATCTAATTTGTTTATGAAAGACATTCTATGAATGAATATTCACGAAATGTAACATAGTTTATCATGACTAATTCACAGTTGGAAAGATCGGCAGAACGTAATTGGCCAAAGAAGTTGTCATCAATTTGTTTTTTTTCGTGTTACTGTTACAATTCAAACAATCTTTCTTCTTTGAAAGGAAAAAATTCCTAATAAGAGATATATATTTAAAAAAAATTCTTTGGTTCCTGCGGGATAAAAACACGAATTAGTAGCCGAATGATTAAAGGAATGCCCATTGTATAGTAACATAAAAGGTCATCATGACGTTTATTTACGTGACACATTGTACCACCATGATGTCTCTGTAAGTTTGTTCCTTCAAGTTCAATACTTGACCTTCCGTGAAGCTCAAGCAAAGTAAGACGTCACATTTAAGCAAATAATAATCAGAATTTTAACCGCCCCGAGGCTATGCTGCTCACATAACAATACCTTGACAAAGCTCGATATAACTCATTACCAAATGCTAATCTTTTACAATAACACCGAAAAATGAAGGCTCTGAGTTTGCCTGTGGTATAATATGCCTATAGGCAAAGTTAGCGCAAGCATGTAATCTCGTTTATAGCATTCATGTTTCTTGATGTTTACGTCAAAATCGTTAGTGCTATGAAGGACAGTAATGCTTACCAGATAGATGCAAATTGTATCTTATAAATTTTTTAAGGCACTCAATAATATAAAACTAAATTAAAACAGGTTTACAGCAGTTCAGACAGCGAGGGTAATCTTACGATTCAAGACGTCACGAGAGAAAAATTTGGTTCCGATGTAAAGGAGTTAACTGGGGAAGAAAACGGAGAAATGGAAGACGATTCTGAGGTTACTAAACAAAGATACGGTTTTCGAACTAGAAGGCTGAAAAGGCAAAGAGATGACGAGTGAGTTGTTCATATTAAAAATATCCTATTTAGGTTTGCGACTTTTTTATTCAACCTAAATGTGGATTTGCGAGATGTGTAACTATCCGTCGTTCCACTTTTCTGTGTACTGCGGTATTCGTATGTTACCTGTGTCAACCCAATGCTACTTCAATAAGGTAAAATTAGTTGAATATCACTTCACATAACATAAGTTTAACCGAGTTTTCATCGAAGCAAAGTCTCTTTTTGTAGTAGAAAATTGCTTTTCACCATTGCTCCCACAGTTGATGTTTTGTTGTAATAAGTTTTGAGTTAAATCCTAAATTGGAAGTAAATGACTGAAACTATCTTACGTTATTTAATCAATATCGTTGTTTAATCAATATCGTATCGTGGTATTATTATTATTCACCACCAGTGGGAACAAGTGTCCGAGGTCATGTGTGCAACCACACAATTTGAGATCAAGTCATATATGGCTCTTAAAAAGAGACTCATTTGTATGAGCAAGCTCAATTGTGTTCCTTCTTTGTTGAGATGATCTATCTATGAGAAAGAGCTATTCTGGAACATTATTGTAGGTTGTTTAAACCGATTACCAGAATATCTATTATAAACAAGATTTATGGTGTCGTTAATTATCTTTTCCTGTGTGCTTCAGTCGACCCTCAATTGGCCAAGTAAATTTCAAGTATAAATTCGCGTTCAAGATAAAGCATGAACGATTGGCGCGAATGTGCTAAGCGTTAGGGATACGTTTGTCATCGAGCCCTGCGTGGGTTCACTGGTCCGAATCCCGTGGAGGGTAATTGTGTGCGGGGGATTGCTGAACTCCTCGGCGATGTAGGGTAGTTAGAGTGACCGCTAGTCGGTTATTGTTTTCTCCTCCACGAAGCCCGTTTCTATGAAACAAATAACTAAACTAATCCCCTGATCTACACGAACTGGTAACGAGACGAGAGGCCGTGGAGTAAGTATGATTAAGCCGTCTCACCACCCTCCCCCTCCCACGGGATAAATATGTAAATCGTATCCTCTTATTTCATTATACATTGTTTTCCTGGAATTGTTTTTTGTTTGTGTCTTCATGTATTTATTACCAATTTCATTCCTTATATTTTCAGGATTAACACCGCGTTTTACACAAACAGCAGCGATGAATCGGCCAATGAAGGTTTCGGTTATCTCATGTCATCTGATGACGAAACTTATGACATCGCGTCAGACAATTGGGCTTTTGTAAGAGGTGCAAAAAAGAAAACAAATTCAGAAACAAAGAAAAAAAGCGAAGAAGCTAAGAAAAAAAATGAAGGTTCCCCAAAAATGAAACCAAAAACTAAATCGAAACCAAATTTACTGAAGATTAAAATAAAAGCAGCTTTTACGGGCAAAAAATCAAAATCAAAAAAGGACCAAACGAGTACAGTTATGGCGCCCAAAAAGGATGAAAAACTTCCTAAAGTCGAAAAGGTGGGTAGTGATGCGAGCCCCGAAAAGATACCGAAAATAAGCCCTAAAAGGAAGCTGCCAATAAAAGCTAGATTCAAATCTGCGAATCTTATGTCGTCATTCACTACCGAGAAGTCCCCACCGCCAATCCCAGCAGCAGTTACCCCCGTTTCTTCATTTCCGAAGAAAAGTCCTAACCGAATAAGGTGTGGTTACAATCCGAAAGCCCCCAAAATACCAGAATTACGTCACATTCGTCGAAGACAGTTGCGACAAAACCCAAAACGGGTGTTAAGTGCTGATTCAAACGCTCTAGATGACGGGACGTCATCGAGTGATGATGAAACTGCGGAAGAGATAACCAAAACAATGCGACGGACTTCTTTATACAGCTTACGAGCATCATCTAGGGGCGGAACAAAACGCAAAGTATCTAAGTCACTCGATGTCGACGAGCGGTTCAACAACTCTTCCACTACGGCTAAATCGACCGATAATATCCTCACAACAAAGACATCACCACGTAAACGAGGTTTAAAGCTTGTTATTCGTCGAGACAGTCTAGATCAAAATATCCCCAAAACCCCGTTGGACAACGATTCCAAAGCAGAACAAACGAGTTCAAAACGCGTCAGTGAAAACAATCAAACTGTCCCTGTATCTTCGACCACAGCTGACAAAACAAGAGATGTAACCGCGAAGCAAAATTTATCTCCCAAAATGATCCCGAAAGTTGTATTGGAAAGATCCCCAAAGATGACAGGATCTGCGTACACAAACACACCAGAATCCACTGCTCACGACAAGAAAAACGGTGACGAGAGTAATTTATGCAAAACCCAGGAAATATTAGCAATGCAAGGTGAACGGATCTGTTATGATTGAATGTCAATATTTTGATGAAATAATCAGAATTCCTTTGATTACTAACATTACTTGTCTTGGCACGTAAAGAGGGTGACAATCATAGCCGTGTTCATGTAGGGGCCCCAACATATGTTTTTTTGAAAAGCTTTTGCTTTATTTGCAACGAGACGCAAACTCGTGTCTTTTCCAACACTAATTTGCTCTATTCGTGATCAATTCACTAATAGTGATAACCCGGCAATTTTAACTTACTATGAAGTATGAACCAACCGAGAAAGATTGAATAACTTGATAGCTAAGTAAATATGCGGAGAGCTTCCTTAAGCTATTGTTATATATCCTATTCAGAGCGAGTAATCGTGGTTTCACGTTATAAAAAATTTTGGTCCCCACAAAATCTACGCTGTCTGTCTACGCATTTGGTGACAAAAATTACTCCCTAATGTATTCGTTTTGGAATTGTGTAACGGAATGATATTAAATTAGTTCAATATGAAAACCCACCTGAAAGTGGTTTTTATCTACGTGATCAAGTTTGACCTCAATAATGGACGCATGAGTCCTGTGAAAATATTTGCTTCAGAAATTTATTTATTTAAATACTATTTAAAATTTCCTGTGGCTAATTTAGTATAAGACTTGTATTTTATATTTAGATGTTCCCGCCGAAGCTGCGTCACAATCTTCTGCTGCTGATAAAGATATTGACTGTTCCGTCACAAGTAAAACAGTCGATGACGAAATAATAAAAAAGAAAAAGCCTCGGAAAAAGAAGAAAAAAGGTATTTGTTTACTTTTGGAGAATATCAACATATCATGCTGATCTTTGATAACTTAGCCCGGGGGTCGGCAACCTACGGCCCCGGGGGCCAGATCCGCCCGCGTAGTAAAATGAACCGGCCCGCGACGCTTTACTGAATTGTAGCGACAAAACGGCAGTTTTGACGATGAATTAATTTTATAACCCACGCTCGAGGAGTTAGATTATATTCATTACGTAACAGATTTTATTGGGAGACAGGTGTAGATTAAATTATGACCGAAAAACTTGGTGAACAGCTACTCGTTTAACGAGGTTATAATTTAATTATACCTAGACAAATGGCAACACGCAGAAAAGTTGATACTGAGTGCATTGGATTCAATGGCTGAGAAAATATTTGAATGGAGCTTCTTTAGATGCAATGCAGTAGGGAAATAAAATCCACATAATATACGAGAGATGTATCACTGCTTGATTTTTATAAGAAGTATCTTGAAGGAATTCTCTATCCAAATTTGATAAACCATGCAAAAAAATTCAAATCGATTTTTGGAAGTACGTATGCGTTCGAACAATTATTTTTGAAAATGAACATTACAAGGAACAATCTGAACTGAGAACTCGGATTAGTGATGCCCATTTAGAAATAGTTCTAATTTTGACCTCATCCAGTGTGCCCGCCTGATGTCAAATAAACATCAAGCGTGATGCAACAACAAGTGTCACATTAAATGTCATTTGTAAAAATGGACGACTGAGTTGAGTTCACGAGTTGTCACAGTCTTCGCGTCCTGTTTGAAATATAAAATTTCAACTTCTGATCATTTCCTTTTTAAAATATGTGCGGCCCGCCATGACTTGCAACCTTCAATTTTGGCCCGCGAGCGACAAAAATTTGTCGGCCCTTTCACTTTCAGCCATTGGTAACATGAATTATGTGATACTTCTAATTTAGTTCATGCGGCATCAGGAAAGGGAAATATATTTGGTTGGCTTTTAACAAAGATGTACAGTTAACTGAAATTTCAGCATTTCTATGAATTAATTTCATAACCGCGGCACGCAATATATGAATGTATTTATCATTGTAGGTCCTTAGTTTTCCAGGAACATTTTGAACAAAACTTAACTCTATTCAATTTTCATTTAATTCTTTCTCTTGGTACTTGGTATAACCCCTGGATTAATTAGTTTCGGAAATTGTCTTTCACAAACTATTGAATTTCAAGAAATATAAAGGAGTTGTAGCAAACATTCAAGGAAGTTTGTCTAGTTTTTAGGTTCATTGCTAGCATATTTTGAAATTTGATTTTTTCTATGAAATGAAAAAACATTTTTTAAAAAACAAATTGGTGTACTCGGTGACCCGTGAAAAACAAAACCCTTCGTTTTAAATTACCGGTACTTCCACGGAAATGAAAATAATAATTATTTAATTTTGTTTGTGTTTAACTTTGCTTGTGTATAAGTAAACCCAAAAGTTTCGGACATATATTACTCTATGAGTTCTCTCTAGATCAGGGGTGGGCAAAGTTTTTGAACCAGGGGCCAAAAATTGGAAAAGATTGGCGGGCCATGTAAGTGTGACGTAAAAAGTTACATATTATGAACAATATTTACAGTGTTACAAAGCAAAGGTGTAGTACAATAAGCCCCGTGCCAAAACCCTAAATTCAACCGCAATTACAACAAATTCCTTGAGCTATTGTAGCCGAAACATCAAAATTTGATTTTAAGTTCGGTTGTGGCAGCACCAGGCGGGCCAGATTGAATTAACCAACGGGTCGGATTTGGCCCGCGAGCCGTACTTTGCCAATGTCTGCTCCAGATTTAGAGTATGTTTCAAATGACCTCTATGACGTTGGAGCCGACAGACTTGCATCTATTTCGCAAAATTTTCATAAACATTAATCAAAATTATCTACAAAATTTTTAATCAAAAACATCTTAACACATAACATAGAATCATTCATATACTTTCCATAACCATTTTCATATATTTACTATTTCATATATATCCTAACTCAGAACAGTGCGACAAGTGTGGAGTGAGGGGGGCACGACGTTTTTGAGAAACAGCCGAGCATACAGTGATGTCATCTTAGAAAATTGCAGTTATGACCACACAAACGATAATGCTTCTTTATATTTATTAAAATTACTTTCATCTTGTAAGACTACACATTTCATTTTCACTATTGCAGGGATATTGTTATGACATGCTTATCGAACCAAAATAAAAAGATCATAACAAATTATGTTTCAATTTCTCCGCTGAGTGCAAATTTTTGAAAATATCAATTCTCCCTCAATAGGTGAACAATGAAAGAAAATAACATGCAACTCGGAAGTATATAATATAGACAGGGGTGGGCAAGGTTTTTTGACCAGGGGCCAAAAATTTTGCCCACCTAGACTGGCGGGCCATGTAAGTGTGACGTAAAAAGTTACATTTTATGAACAATATTTACAGTTTTATAAAAGCAGAAGTGGAAAACAATAAGCCTTGCGCTAAAACTAAATTTAATCGCAATCTCAACAAATTCATCGAGCTATTCTTTATTTAAAACATCGAAATTTAGTTTTAGTTTGGTTGTGGCAGCAATAGGCGGGCCAGATTGAAGTACTCAGTGGGCCGGATTTGGCCCGCGAGCTGTAGCTTGTCCATGTCATATATGGAGTGATTAATGTATAGTTTTTTTAGAGACGCCGTAGAATCTGAAGAAAGTTGATCATAGTTGACACTTCAATGAATTCGATATATCCCCACGAATTTGCCAGTCGTGATAGAATTTATTTATTTTTTTATTCGAAAGTTTGTAGATTCTAAATTTGGCATGATACGATCGCAAACCCTTCTCCCAAAAAAATTCATTTTACCGATTGTACTCAAATTGAAAATATATTGCTGAAACCACGAACTCCACTTTGATGTCAATTGTCAAACTCTTTCTCTTTTCGTTGATGAAAATTTTAAAGCAATTTTATATGCATTTATTGGGCAGTGAATTCGAAAATAGAGATAATTTCACCAATATATTGAAAAATTATTTTCCATACAAATTCATTTAGTTTAGTTAGATTTAGTTTTTATTTATTTTATTATTAAATGTTATCATCATTATTGTTAGCAGTGATCCATGATGCTTGTTATTCATGCCATTTGTAATATTCAACTTAGTTAGTCATTGGAATGTTTCGAAGTTGACGTAAATGCCCAATTTGCATTAAATAAACTTGCAGCCGCTGCGCATGGACCAGAAATATGGCATGTGAATCACATTAATATATTGTGTAGCAAAATTAAATAGCCATGCTTGTTGCGAATAGATCATTGGTGCATCAAAAGTACAAAGGTAGTGATAATATTACTCACCTTCAATGAGTTGGAGCAGGGGTGGACAAATTACGGCCCGCGGGCCAAATCCGGCTCGTGGGATAATTCAATCTGGCCCGCCCGATGCTGCCACAACCTAACTGAAACTAAATATTGATGTCTTAGATAAAAAAAAAAATAGCTAATGAATTTGTTGAGATTGCAATTAAATTTAGTTTTGGCACGAGGCCTATTGTTTTCCATTTTTGCTTTTGTAACACTGTAAGAATTATTCATAAAATGTACTTTGTACGCCACATTCACATGGCCCGCCGGTCTAGGTGGGCGAAATTTTTTGCCCGCGGTCTAAAAACTTGCCCACCCCTGGGTTTGAGCGAACTTCATATTAGACTGTTTATTCAAACAATTGGAGCTTCATCATTTCTTGTAAAGAGTGATACGGATAATGCGATGTCATTCCCACCTGGATCTACTCTCCTGTTCGTCTTTTTGTGGGATCCTCTTAGTCCTCTTACCCACGTTATCTTTTCTTCCATGTCCCATCCCGCTTCTGCCCTTTCCTCTATTCTGCATAACAATTTCCATAAACTTGTCACGTGACTGTGTTTGTTTCGATGTTCATCAGCACATAATATTATGAATATTATCACCAAAAATATCATTTAACTAAATACTTTAATGTTAAGATCGTTACGAAACGTATTGGTGAGTTGAATACGAAGCGAGAAAGATATCAACCCTCTCGAAGTCAAATAAAATACCGAGAACACTGGGTATAATATTTGAGGCGAATCTTTTATAATCTTTTAAAAGAAGTTTACCAGCAATGAACTGATATGTTTGGATTCAAATATGTATTATCAAAAGTAGGATACAACGATTAGATTTCTATGTAACATAAATGTTGCGACATCAGCATTTTAACAAAAATACTGCAGTAGCTTATCGTATAAGAACACTTCACCAGTAACCAATAAATTAGCATTTATATTCTTTGTATTTTTGAGTGAGTATTCGCTTTGTTCATTAACTATAAAGAAATAAAATAATTGAGTTTTTTGGGACGTTAGAGGCATATATATATATATATCGTTAAATAACTAACTATTTGAGGATAAAATGTAAATTCGTGAACTTTTTAGGAAGTTTACTATCCCAATTTTATTATCGATTGCAAATTCAAAGGTATTGTAGCATTCGAAATTCATTACACGTTTAAAATAAACGTTTAGCAAACGTAAATTTTACGAAGTCGGTAATTTCTTTAACCTCGTGATAAGATTGCTTCATTTTCCGACATGTTGCATTAATAAACGTGTAATTCGTACGTGTTATGTCAACAGCTTACTGTTTATATTAGGGATTTGCAGAAGGCATTGTCAACAAACGCTTTGAGTAGGCAAAGGTATTTTTATTATCAACCTAACCCGAGCCGCCCTCTTGGTGGCACTGATGCATTGTTTGAGTAAATATATGTTATGCACAACACTGTATCGATAAAGAGCTTGTAAGGGCATTGTCAATATTCTGAAATTCATCTCTCACGTATTGTTTTAGGTTTTATTACGCAGTGTTGTTTAATATGGTGTATGCTGTTTAACAGGGAAATTCTGAGAGGGATGTTGTTAATTTAGCGAGTCTTGAGTTTATTCGCGCTTCCATAAAATGCTCCCGGGAGAATT